GATTGGGGTCCAAACACTACTAACTGTCGAACAAGAGGTCGAGTTGCATCATGAAATCAGAGTGACACTCGGGCAACCACGTTCGGGATAGTGCAGTATGTTAAACTCTTACTTATCCAGATCAACCCCGACAAATTGACTCTATATCTTGCATTCATCAAATCAACTCATCGAACCCTGTCTTCTTATAACCCGACTTCGGTGACAGTTAATTAGCACTTTCCCCCAAGCAGTGTTTGAAGACTCCCCTAAAACAGCAACAACAATTGAGATGCAATGCTCGTACAAGTCTTTTTTCCAGCACTTTTCTCCGTAAGCACCTTCATAAGTTTCTGAGAGACAGCATCTGTTTGCACGCGACCAAATCATATGAAACATATACATATGTACATTGTTACATACATGTATATACCAGCATAATTAACACTTTGAGGCACGCAATGCGCACGCAACTACTCGAATTTCGAATTTAGCATTGTCTTCTTTTCTTGACTTGTGTCTCTTCTTTCTTTTTTTTGCATTCTTTGAGTAACTTGCGTGCTGACTGAAATATTTTTGACATGTTTCGCAGGCTACTGGTGGAAGGCACTCAGCATGAGGTGAGGTGTCATGCTTTAAAGGTATTTAGAGGAACTACATTGCTGCACATACATACATATGTAAATACATATATACAGTATAAATTATGTACATAATAATATTCGAAATTATTCTCGGTAAATATTAAAATAACGGTGGTATCTAAGTATGTTCCCTTAAAAAAAATAAGTGTAACCCAACTTAGATTTAACCAACCCACATTGATCCATACTTGCAAAACTCATTTAAGGTACGGGTTTCTTGCTTAAAAATTATATTTGACATGTGTCCGGAATTCTTGTGAATTCAGCATAAAGAGTTTACCGGCCGACAGCTGTATTTTTCATTAATACGAATCATTAAGATGGTGTCTCATTTAACAAAGAATAAATACCTTAATTTTTGTTGGAAATGACGTCCCCTGCAGAACGCAAGGGCACTATCGGTAGTAAGAAAATAAATCAATTTTAATAAAAATATGTAGAAAGTTGGACTCCGAAATTCTTGTCGAACATTGATCCACCAAACTAAAAATTAAAAATATATTGAATTTTTGGCTGGTTTTAAGTTATTAGATATATTTGATAGTTTTGATAATATCCAAATTGGTTGTTAACCGGAATATTCGAATTTTTTTTTAAATTGTCACTGACTATAAATATTTGAAGAAAAAATTTTTTCTAAAAAATATTTAATAAAATAAACCAAATAATAATAATACTCTATACTAAAAGACGTTGGTAAAGTTGGTTACTAACATAACGGATATACCAGAAATTAAATAGTATTAGTCCATATTTTCTTTTCCAAATGACAGTAAGTTTTCAAAACCAACCTCCCCTGTCCGAAATCCTGAAACTGCCTATCTTTATAGGTGTCTCATATTTATTTTGAGTAGTTTTGTGATTCTTACAACATGAGAAATAAATAAAAAATAATATTGCAAATAATTAAATTCATGCTACTTACTGTTCGTTGCTACTTACCGATCCAAACAGGGTTAAATCGCCAAAATGACAGGCCTTCTCCGGATAATGATTCTGAAAAGATAAAAATAAATAAAAGTAAAAAGTTAGAAGATAATCATAATTATTTACAATATTTTATGCTCAGCTGAGACCGAATCTCGCGTCTGTGGTCAATCCAAAAGCAATACTTAATAAATATCTACGCCGTTTATGGAATATAAAATCGCATTGCTTATACCAATAATAACAAATTTCAATTTGAACAAGGTACTTTTCACCAAAATAATTACATTTACTATTTGAAACAAATAACTATTAAATAAAAGCAAAAAACGAATTGATGGAGAACAAAAAAGGATCAAATTTTGAAATTGCAGATTACAATACTTATAACCACACAAGTCGGCGAAACAACAAGGATAATCCGTTTTGTGGTAGGGAAAGTAATGACGGAAGGTACTTTGTTTTCTGTTCAAGTCAAAAATTGGAAAATAAAAATAGAAATAGAAATAGAAATAGAAATGAAAATAGGGAAAAATATGCAGCACAAGCAGACAGTGGACGCTTGTATAATGAAGTATTTATAGAGAATTTTCGCTGAAATTTAGATTTTGATAATAGAAGAGAATTGGTTCGATAATTTTTATACTGCCTGTCTGTATATACACGAACTAGTCCTTCAGTTTTCGAAATTTTGCACACGTCTGTTTCTTCTCAAGAAGCTGTTCATTTGTCGAAATCGCCGATATTGGACCACTAGCTGCCATACAAACTGAACCATCACATTGAAGTACTTCTTTGAAAGAATTTTTTATTTGTGAAGGGTATTATAGCTTCGATGCAACCGAAGTTAACGTTTTTTCTTGTTTGAATAATATATTGTATATAATATAATATATATGTGAACTTTTAGCCAAAATATTTCAACTGTAGATAAAAGTTTACATATTGCATATTACATACATATATGTAGGTATGTATGTGCACCGTGTTTCATTGTTTTATAATCTTCCTTATTAGCATAGCATTAGAAGCACATAAGAATACGTTTTTATATAATTTTACCATCGTAGCATCCTTTAAGCAGTAACATATACAAATATTTATGTATATGTATGATGTACATATTACAAGGACACTTTTTCCTAAGCTTCATCTCCCTGCAACATCCAATAATTTTTCAGTTGCTTTCACATCTGTTCTTCTCATTCACTGGCAATTAGCATCAGCTTCGATTGTTGATGGCGTCCATTGCGCAGGTCCATTTGCACTCACACATTGTTACGAGCATAGCGAATCAGTAATTAGTTGACCAATCAGCGACTTGTGTTTGTTGTTGGTCGCTTGTGCACGAACGTATAAGGGGAATCAGTTAGCCACGCCTATGGGAAAACAGGTTGGCTCACTTGCAATTGCTTTTACGAAGTACTTTGTAATAGAGTTTGTTGTTAGGTATGTATGCCTATTATTGTTTGTTGTATAACCGGTATTTGCGAATACAGCTGCTTTCAAAATGTTGAGCGCTGTTAAGGTAGGACGTTTCACCATTTTGATCTCTTACTCTTCAATTATGCCTAGAATGTGAGAGCGAAAAATAAGAGAAGGTAGAGTATACACTAGTGCGCAAAAGATAGTAGTGAGGAATTTAAGTTCCTTAAAGAGCGTTTTTGAAAAAGATTTTCACTGGAACTGTCAAAATGGAACTTCAAGTAGAGCGGATAATATTAAGGGGTTATGTGGGTTTGAAAAGTCCAAAAAAAGGGTATTTTTACTACATTTTTATATTCATACATTCAACAATTCAATTCCACAATGAACGCTTAACTTTCAGTGTTTCTCTAATAAAAATGGCGACTGTTGTTTGGCAAAACGTAAAAGATGAGAGTTTTTCGACATTTTGGTGAAAACTTTTTATGTGCAGCGTACATCGAATTTCTGCCTAAACAATGTCAGACGCAAAGCGAAGCAAAAGTTCTATGTAAATTAGCCATTAGAATCGATTAAAGTTTTTGGGAGAATATTTTAAACATATTTTACTATTTAATAAGACAATGAAAAAATAACTACGATAAAGCTGGGAGATACATTACATGAGGCCACGTTCGTATGCTTCATATTCTTAATGAGTTAGGTGCAGTCAGAGACATGAAAAGATTACTCTAAATTATTTTAAAGTAATGGCTTTTTGTGTTGAGTTAGTTCCAACCGAAGCTCCTTGCTTCAACAATTAATTGTTTATAGAAAATAGAAATTAAAAAATCTTTCGAACAGGGCATAAGTTTTGCAAGTTTTCAAAAAGCTGCATAAATTTTATTGAAATCCATCGATCGTTTTTTAAGCATTCATAGTTTTGAGAACAAAGCATTTGAAGTTTTACATAAACGTTCTAGAGCGCCCCAGAAGCCTTTACTAACTATCGAATAATTTGAAAAAAGTTTGTCGGATTTATTTCAAATTTTCAAAGAATATTTCTAAGGCATTATACTTTAAGGAAAACTCGATTCTGACTACCCCTAACCCCAAATAATGATAATTCCATGCGATTATATCTTATTGAATTTTAAGGCAAGTATACTTCTATTTAATTTGATTATATATTTCAATACCATTCGAGACAGTTTTAAACCTTTTCTAATATCTTATTTTTAAGTAATTTTAATGCAATTTTACTAAGGTGCTCTAATTTGAAAGTCCATCTATTTATAATAATTACTGTATTTTTTATTACTCTTCAAACATATTTATTTATATTTGCAAGAGAGCCACAATTTCTCTCGTTGCCAAAAGTATACTTTGAAAGCCACTGGCTTATACAACAGCAATATATAAATAATTAAGCAAAAAGTGGGTGTGCTGCTCTGTCTGCTCTCCTTTTCAGACACATTTGCTTTAACACTTTGTGCAACGGCAGATCAGCAGTTGGAACTCGTTGAAAAGAGACAGCAATACACACAAAATGTTTTCAAGATATGGCCTAGTCGCATTAGTGGTGGTTGGGTGTGTTCGTTGCGATCGTATCGAATTCCGATTCAGTTACAAAGCAGACAAACGCAACAACCAGCTAATATGTGCGCAACAAAAATCATGAAAAAAAACAAAAATGAAAATTAAATTGAAAATTGCAGTGAGCAACTAAAACAATATCCCTACCGCCACCACGGCCATCATCTGCAACAGCCACTGTCGCCATGTGAGCGGTTGAGTGGTGGCGCAAACATCAACGGCAACCAGTGCTAGCAGTGCACAAACAACAAACGCACGGGGAGCGCCGAGCGCACTCATTAGTTGCGGAGCAGCACAGTGTAGCTAGCGGATGTGTGATACTCGCACCAGTTGTGGGATACAGACAACCAGCAGATACATTTGACGAATTCAGTTTTTCGTACTCCGTGTTGGCGTGTGGTTCGTTTGTCGTGTGTTATAACGTTTCAGCGTTACGGACGTTTCGTTTGCATACAATTGTTCAGAGGATATGATATATGCGCGTGAGATATCCATACACCGTCGGTGGCATATAAAAAACGGAAGTAAACAAATTGCGAATTGTCGTTTAGTGTTCAGATATTAAAAGAAAAAAAATTATAAAAAAAGGATTGAAAACAAGAAAAAAATTACAAAAAAGGATATGCCAAACGGTAGACGCGTCAAAACGGCGCAACGAAGACACTGAAACTTTTTTATTTCAAGCGATCTACGAATATTTACTATAGTTATATGCTGTTGTTGTTTGGTCACTATTTTGTAGTTTTTTGGCTCTTACTGTTGCGCGTCTCGCAGCTTTTTCGCGCGATCTGAGTCCAATTCACTCTTCTTCTTGCTGCTGCACTGCTGTTTACGCTTTTCATCAGCAGCAATCTGTGACGTCTAGCACTGTTATTGTCGAAATTGCTAAACGTTTTCTGCGCTGCAATTAATTAAATGTATCTTAAAATATGCTACAAGTGTGTGGCGCGAATCGAATAAATTTGCGGGAATAAAGGAATGTTGGCTGCTTTTGTTTTATATTCGGCAGCTACAGCGACAATTGTTCTATTTCTTTTTGTTTTGTAATTTACTACTTGTTGGCATTGGAAAACACGTGCTGTGACTAATGCTGAAAATATCTAAATTGACCGAATCACGTTGCTAGTGCAAAAATAAGTGTAAAGTAAATCTGGCAAAATAAAAGTGACAAAAGCAAATACTATATACATGGACTGTTCGTTAAAAAATTATAAAAAGAAAACTGGAAAAAGTGCAATTTTGTTTCGGCACTAGGCGCGTTTGTAAAATCTGAAAATTATAAGTAGTAAAAAAGGAACTTAAACGGATTAAATTCATATTAGAAAAGGAAAAGGTTTGTAAATAATATTAAAATAACTTATTATTGACTTATATATGCATTTTATATGTATTTGTATTAAAAAATAAACCAATAATAAATAAACACACATATAAATTTAGCAGAATACTTATTAGCAACTAAGGTTATCTTCATGAAAATTGTATAAAATATAAAAAAAATTTATAATTTCTGTGAAGAGCAAGGGGAAAAAAAATGCAACTGGATCTAAGCAAAGCTTTTCACACAGACTTACTTTGCAACTATTACAATTGTTTCTACAAATAATGCTTGTAATAAATATTGAAATTTGCTCAAGATTAGCTTTCATTCTAAGATAATAACTTTCCAACTTAATTTTCAAATAATTTTGCCGCCGGTTGAACATATGCAAGTATCTTGGATTTCTTCAAATTTAACATATAAATTTATAAAGAATCGATTTAGTATATATGTATGTACATACATATATTGGATATACTATTATGAAGTACTAAAACTTCTAAAACAATCTTTTTCCAAATAACTAAATTTTATAGGCATGTATTTAAAATACAATACTGTCGTAGTTATAAAGCGTATAACCATTGGACTAGCCTAAGTTTAACATAGATGTTTTCTTTATATTCATAATATTAATTATAATTGAAATTATTATCTGATATGATCTTATATGAGAACTGTTTTACGTGAAAAAGATACTTAAAGAAACGATAGCTACAAGGTAAACTCAATTCATCTCAATAGTTCTCCAGTCCTGTAACAGTCCTAAGCGTTAATAGTTCAAATAAATAAAGAAGCAGTTCCTCGATGTAAGCCCAGTTTTTGCCAATTTTGTGTATGTAAAAAATTTAAGATTTAAAAAAATAGTTGCAAAAAAATAAACAAATTATATAATGGAATTTAGGGTATACCACACACATTTTATAAAATGTTGCACTAGTTTATGAAAAAAAGTTTTTCTTGCTTACTACTAGACTGAAATTTATAAAAAAAAAAACGAGCAAGACAAAACGTTAACTTGGGCTGCACCGACGATATAATACAGTTCACAGTTGCATTTTTAATAGCATAAAGGGTATAAAAAGATCTTTATTTTGATCGGTCAGTTTGTACGGCCGCCATATGGTATAGTGGTCCGATCTAAAGAATTTATTCGAAGAATATAACATTACCTTGACTTATATTCTATGATTCAAATAATTTCCATACAAGAACTAAATTTTCATAGTTCAATTTGTATGACAGCTATATACTATAGTAGTCCGATATCCGCGGTTTCGACAAATGAGCAACTACTTGGAGAGAAAAAGACGTGTGCAAAATTTCAAAGCGATATTTCAAAATGACTAACTTAGCTCATCACGCTGATCATTTACATATGGATATATTTTATTTCCGACGTATCCTTCTGGGTGTTACAAACTTCGTGGCAAACTTAATTTACCCTGTTCAGGTATAAAAATTAATGATTCCTTAATAGTTCAGCAGACCTCGGTTGGAAAGAATAAATAAAAAGTAGTTTCTAATATTTTAGTTTCTAAAAGCTGAAAAATCTTGTCATCCTTTCCCGAAAATTATCGAGATTACCACATCTAGTACTTTTAAGATTCATTTGAGCTTATAAAACGTTAATTAGGTTTGTCGAGGAAATCAGAACCTAATTTTTTATTCTCTGCTTCTCTCATAAAAACAAATTAAAACATTATACTTATATTACGCCTTAGAGTCTAAGGTTTAGACCCTTTTAAATTAACATAAATTCGATGACGGATCAGCTTATTTTTAATTCAATATGAAATTATTAACTTTCTGACAACACATTATATATATATAAAAAATTAAAATTTTGTAAAATGTAAAATTTCAAATTTTAAAATGTGTTAATTCCTTTTTTTGTTTGTGAATTTTAAATATATTCCTCTAACATCAAAAATACACTAATATTATTTATAAATAATAAATATAACAATTTACATTTAGCCGGAAATTTTCTAAAAATTCATTAAAAAAAAACAGTAATTGAAATAAAACAGAAAACGAACAACAAATTGCACTTAAGTGCCATAATTCTATGCCGAGAAAAAAATTAAATATTGCCTAGTACCTACATTCGCGCAATATATTGGATACAAATCTTCACTGTAATAGTGAAATTTCGAAATAAAAATTTTAACCATTTGCTAGACACTTGAAAAATTACTATATGCTTGCTATTTTAAGAAAAACTCATAAGTATAATATTTCAAAGTCGAAAGAAGAAAAACACACACCTGGTGCAAATACATACAAACAAAAATATAATAACACAAGCAGCGCATAGAAACATAGCAATAGTTGCCAGTAGTTTGTGGCGTACACTTTTCCGCTGTTAACAAAGGAGGAATAATAAAAAGATGTGTTAAGTGACGATTTCTGCTCCATATTTTCTTGCAACCAAAAGCCCCCTACGCGTCAGTGCTTTTTTTGTGTTTTTTTTATATTCACTATGTAGACACATCTCCAACTCATCACATTTTGTCTATAAATTTTGTAGTCGAAAATTTTGGAATATCTTGCATCTAAATTTAAAGAACGCAACAACAAATAGATTTTCGAGATTTCGAATTCTTCACACTTTTGCTGTGGCTAATCAATAAAACATTTACTACAATGTTAAAGAAACAGCGCTACCTTATTAAATCATGCTCGAGCGAGCACATATTAACGTTTGTATGAACATGTGTACATACGTACTTTGAAATGTAAATATGTATGCAAAGCGTGTAGTAGGAAATCAAAGAAATCATAAGCTCAACAGCCATAAATTTGATATTTTTATCGGATATGTTGTTGCAGAAGTGCTAAAATGGTGCAGTTTTGTTGCTCTTTTTGTTGTTTTTTATTATTCTTTCTTTCCGGTTCTGTATGTGCTAATTTGCGGCTTTATTTGCTGCGCATTGTTGATTTACTTGTTTGTTTACCTTAATCTCCATAGTTGTTCGAAAATTTATTAATTGATTTTTATCACTTGATTTGCAGGAATTTAATTTAAAAAAAAAAATTATATATATATACATACCTATATAATAAGACTGATATTGTAATATTTTTAGAATATCTGTATGTGTTCGTAAATATTCAATCGCAGATTTGGTATTTAGTATATTTTATGATCTGCTATTGTATCACTTTGTAACACTTATTCATTTTGTCTGGCGTTTGATTGCCGTAAAGACTGCTTAAAGTATTCTATATAAATAAAGTCAGTGATGGACGCTGAAACACCGCACTGACTCATTTCATTTGAGGTTTTGTGGGTCACATTGATTTTTGAAAAGCTCGTTTTTCTTTCTTCCACGAATCATTTCATAGAAATCGGTTCAGTTCCAATTTGACACGTTCAATTTAGGGACACACAGAATCTTTTAACTTTATTCTTAAGGTGGCATAATCTTCAACTGTGAAATTGTGGATAACTTCGCGACAAGCGAGACATCAAAATACCTATGTACGTTAACTGCGATAATTTTGAAAATCTCATCTTGGCATTAAAGGCATGGCAAAAGCTTCCAGCCACTTTTATACTTCACACAACACACTTTCAGTTGGATTTTTAGGCGCGTACCACTATAATGATTGAATTACTTACAAAAATATATATAATTAGACATCTTAAAAGACGTGATAGAGAAACCTTGTTCGACGTGTTTACCCATCTGTGGCTTTTCCTGTTTTTCGAACACAAATACTCCCTCCGGAGAATGCAAAATAAGACAAAGAAAGTCATAAAGAGAAGTCCGCTAAAAGAATAATAGGTCATCTCGTTCAAGGTCCATAACAATTCGAATTCGAATTAATAATTCATGTATTCGATTTGGCACATATACCGAACATTTTATGAGGTCTTTTAAAGTATTGTAGTAATTTATAACGCCAAACTCCAATATGATAGTATGTGCCTTTTTTTAAGCTACTCTAATATCGATACATTTTTTTGACTGAGTCACTTGAAGGAAGGCTTGTTCTCCCTTACATCCCTTTTGTGTTTATTATTTTAATTGACTCATACGTTTCTAGCGCTTCATTATTCTTTGAAAGTCGTATAAATATTGTATTTTCTAACTTACTTACCGCAAGAGTTTCCAGTTTAGAAATTCAAGTATTACATGTTTCGAAAAGTGTTTTCTAGTGGGACCATAAGCCCTAAAATGTCGTTTAAACTCTTCGAGGGAGAGTAGGTAAATCTGCAACTTTCAAAGTCTGAGTAGCAGTTATCTCACATCAATGTATAGGATTTTTACTTTACACTAATTTAGCAATTTTCAAGTTTGTGGATTTAACTGCAATAACACGACGACCCAAAGTTTTAGAAGGCGTCAAACAATTATTAATAAACTCGCACACTTATTAAGTTTGACCACGCAATAACCCATATTTATTTTAAAGATTGTTGTTAAGAGCTAGTAAAATTATTATCTAAAGTTTGTAAATTTGTTTCAGAAAAAAAGTTTTAGCTGATATTGTCAGTATTTAATTAGGCAAAGAGTCGGGACCTATTAAACCCTTTAAAATATATAAATGATCAGGCGACCTCAGCTGATTTAGCCATGTCCGTTTGTCTGTATATACGTATATACACACTACTCCCACAGTTTTTGAGATGTCTATTTAAAATTTTGTACACTTGCTTTTCTTCTCAACAAACTGCTCATTTATCGGAACTGGCGATATCGGACCACTATAGTATATAGCTGTCATACAAACTGACCGATATGCTTTGTATGAAATTTTCTTTTATTTGACAAGCTTTCTTAACAAAATTTGACAAGGATTGTTGCCAAGACAACGTTACAATATCCGAACAAGTTGTTCAGATCAAATATGTATCTATGTAGCTACCACAAAAATTGGCCGATCAAAATCAACTGGAAAAAAGTTTATTTGTGAAGGCTATTCGGAAGAGATTTAATACTTTTATAACCCGCTCATTTTATACTTATTTATTTTAGCTACATAAAACCTATATCTCATAA